ATTTACTTGCGATACATGCAGGGACACATGGGACTTGGACGCGAAAGCCATGGGGAGCAACGCAATGGGGACGGTCAAGAGCAAGGCAGCCGCGTTGTCGATTGCGGGCCCCGCGCGCGCCGCTTTCATTCGATTCGCGAAGTTCAACCACAAGCGCGTAGGCCAGGATAACACGGCATGAAAGCAAGGGTTGGACATTATTTCGAGCATCTTCAGTACGCTGTAGAGCTGCGCGCACGACAGAGGCGCAACGAACTCCACGTTAGATCCGAGCATCTTGCCACAGCGCGAAGCTGGCAGACCGAGCACGCGTTGCTCAAATACCTAGATGCAAACGCGCGCGCAGGCGCCACTTTCAGCTACGGCACGACGTCGAAGTATCAAGGCCGGGAATGGGCCGCCAGGAAATCGAATACATCCGTGACCAACATTGACATGCTAGGAAGAGAACGAAGCACGCGCAATGGGCAGCGCACGCGAATCGGGCCAGCAGGGGAAGGAAGGATTCGACGATTAGACAACTGCTTGCGCAAAGTCATTCACGCACGCAGACGGGAGCGCAAGATGTGGATTTGAGGTCGGCCACGCGAGAGAAATACGCCACGTCGACCACCACATAGAAACAGACGGCGCCGCAAGTGCGCCACGGAGCACGAAAAGGCCGGGCTGCGCATCTGGACAAGGGGAGACGGCCGCGCGAATAGATTGCGACGTGGGATTAGAAGATCATGACGGGGAGCGCGCGTTCGGCGAGTTACGCACGACGCAGCGGCCGGAGAAACGATGGGAGACACCCGCGAGCACCATAATGCGGCGCGATAGAGGGCGCCAGTTCACAGGTATACCTCGGAACACGGCCGCCGAATCCACGCGCTCAGCGATGGGCGACGATCGCATCCACCACTAGGCGCGCAACGCGCGCGGGCACCAAAGTTGGATGGAAACCACAGGCGAGCGCGAGCCCCGCGGCGACATAGGCGGCGCGGCCCCAGAGATCTGAAGGGGGCGCACGCGTCGCATCTGGAGGGGCCACGACACGCGGCGCGCCATTTGAGATCCTGATCGGCGCGCGAGGTGCAGCGAGCAATTGGGAAGATCGCATGGATGTCTGCTAGAGACAAAGAGTTGATTCAGGCGTGACTCCCCCGCTCGTCTGCGAACGCCAGGGGGGGAAACAGTTGTTCACCGCTCACGGGGGCGTCTTCGCCACTCGCGGGAAGGATTGTGATTTGGATTTGTTTGAAAAAAATAATGCAGGAGGAACGCGCGGCGAAGGCGAGTGGAAGACTGGGGCGCGGCAAGGAAGATGAGACGTCAATCGGGATGTTGAGCACGATTGCTGCATGGACGAGTGAAAATGCAAGATAGGTGGATTAGAGACACGCGGCGGCAATTGCAAGAGAACTCGGACTACGTAACCGTTTCTTGAACAACAACGTACATCAAAAAGCGCGAGATGCCAGGGGGATGTCTACCGGTTGAAGGCAACGGTGACATCTGGAGTCCAGCTGTTCGTAGTGCGAGAGAATTACCCTGCGCACGATAAGTTTGAAATTCCGTTTGCGGCGCGGGAGCTGCCCAGACAAATGCCGGCCCCCGCGGCGGGGTCCATGAAGGCGCTACGTAAATTAGGCAATGATTTTCAAAAGTCGCGACTGGTCACGAGACATGCACACGCATCAAAGCATGCCCAGGTCACTAGCGCGGATCAGCGCGGGGTTTGCAGAATGCACAAAAAAAACACATATATGTATAGGTGTATATGTATATAATGTGGAGGTAACCGCGCAGAGATGCAGCCTGATAAAGCCATGTCGCCACAGTCGGCCATGGCACTGCCATCGAGGGAAGCACAGCATTACGGGGCGGTCAAGCGAGGGTCAGCAGCGCGGGCGGGTGCAAGCAGCAGTGATAGATTTTGGTGTGAGATGCAGCGTTGCTCTTGTGGACAACTCCTAAGCAACGGTTGCCATGGCCAGCAAAATGAGCCAGGGAAGCCAGGGCATCTCGAAACGCGTCAACTGCGGATACAGGAGAAGGTCAGGAAAGGAGAAGCGGACAGGACGGCGGGTCGCGCTATGGCGCGGCGTAAAACTGCGGGCCACAGCGAGAGCTCCATCGCCAAGGTAAAGAAGGGGGGGAACTGCTCGGCCGCAATGGGAACATCTTGCAGACCGATATCGGTCGGCCCCTTACTGACGCCGACAGCAAGCGCGCCATGGCAGCACGGGCATCAGAGATCAGACGCCTTTATATGGACGCCGCAGCTGGGACTTCATCCACAGCGGCACAACATTTTCGCCGCGCAAGCCCACGCCCGCGCCACCCAATTTGCTCGGGAGCCTTGAGACGGGGGTCAGCCAGAGCGCCCGATCTTGCAGGACCCTGCAGAGGCCAGGGTCGCATTGACCCAGGCTTGGGCGCAGCGCCCTGCAGTATCCTGCAGGCTCTTGCGCGCTGACCCGGGCTTGGGCGCAGGATCTTGCAGCTCGCAGGATCCTGCGGGCCTGGCTGACCCGGGTCTGGATTGACCTGGGTCAGAAGACCCCTGGTTTGCCGCGCAAGGCTGCTCCGCGGATTCCATCAGGACGCGCAGATCCATCTAACCTGGGCGGTCAGAAAGGGGGCGCAGCGGACGCGCCGACAGCCGGGAGGGCAGAAAGCTTTTACGAAAAAAGGATCAACGACCCCAGCGTAGCCGAGTTTGAGGTCGAGGCCAGGTCACTGGCGGGCCACGGCGCCAATGGCCCCGGTAAAGACGCGGCCGAAGGCGACATGTCAAGCGGTAAGTCGAGGGATCGACTATCTCTGGGAGTGGCAGGGCCACCGTCGCCGCAGCCTCCATCCAGAAGCGCCGCCCACGGCTCACATGGCGGACATCAGTACTAATTCAAATTGGTGAAGAATGGGTCCTGGTCACTTGGTCGAGTCGCGCCGTGCGTTCACGCCGCCGCCAGAGCACCCTGATTCCGCCATAAGCACAAGCCAGACTTTGTCACGCGGCCAAGCCGATGGGCTCGTGAATGGCGGCGTGGGCGCAAGGTTGGTTGGCTTCGCCATGATCCGCGCGAACTAGCGGATCCCGATGGGGAAGTCGCAACCCGTGAGGAGTGCAATCCTCACGTGGGTTCGTTAAAGTTGCTGCGCGGCGGCGCTTTTAACATCTTGCCAGCTTCGTTCCTGGAAGGCATTAGTGCCTGGAGAGCAGCTCTGTCATATCACCGTCGGGGGCAGCACGACCAATGAGTTCGCCAAGTTTGCCGGGTGCAAAGTGCGTCCCGCACCGACGACCGAGTTCACCGAGGATCTGCGGAGCCCAAAGTGTTATTTGTGGGTACATACGATTGGAACAGCAACGAGAACAGACAGGCCGATGTCAAGGGCGCACTTGATTTACAGCAACATGGAATGCGCCAGCTCATTTACAAAATGGTTCGGCATGCTGTTGCCCGATTATCCGGCCATCATCAGCATACAGCGCCTCTACGGTTTGCAAGCGGTTCACAATGCCAATGGGGCCACCATGACGGGAGCGCGGGCATTACCATTCCTAACTCAGGAGTTAGCCAGGACAGATTTAACCATGGCTCATGGGTTGGTTGTATACTACGAGAACTGCCAAGCCTAGAGACAAATTCGTCACGAAAGAGACTTGGTTGAGAAGCCCGATGTCATCTGGCACCAAGCGACAGTAATGGCCGAGATTTGCGATCACGACAACCTCCGCAGTCGACCTTCGCGCGGTCGTGAATTTCGTCTAGACGCGTAGTTTGCGGGGCCAAGGTGTGGCCCCGTCGCTTTACCACCCGTATTTCACGCTCAGGAGGGCTACTGGTCGCTACCGTTGAATCGAATCTCTCAAGGTCCGGAAGTACACCAGTAGCCGAGTTGCGGTCATTTAAGGTGCGTGGCGTAATTCGAACAGCGAGGACGAGGCCTTGGAGTCTGACGCGTACACGAGTCGCGAAAACCAGCGCAACATGATGGAAGGGGCGCGCACAGGGAAAAGGGCAAGGTCAAGGTCCGTGCATCATCGCCGTGACCTTCAAAAACTATGTGGGTAACTGGTGATTTGTGTTGTTTGTTGTTGTTGGTTTCTCTCTCTCTCTCTCTCGCACTCTCTCTCTCTTTCTGTATCTCTCCCGCTTCTCAGTGTTGCCGTGGGAAGCACAGAGAAAGTGGAGATCTCGTTGTAACTTAGGCCACCTCTTGAGCAGTATTGTCACGCAGTTGGCTGTTCGCTGGCCAGTTGCATAGTTTACCCCATCATGCTTACATGATAGGCGCCCATGTTTCCTGTCGGGCCAGCTCCAGTTGACGTATTCAGCTCATATTGGCAGCGTGCGTATAATAAGTTCAGCCCATATTGGCAGAGGAAGGCTTTTTTTGTACGTAGCCGCCCATGTTGTTAAACCCTGCCGTTCGGCAGGACGTAGGACCACTCACAGTTACGTGTCGCTGTTCCGCGAAAGTGAGTCCATCGTACTTACCATGCTTCTGATAACCAGGATCAAGAAGAGATTGAGGCGGAGGAGGCGGAGGCGGAGGCGAAGGAGGAGGATATGGTTTTAAGGCCGCAGAAGGGGGGTCTTGGGGCTGTTTGTGTGGCAGGGTATCGGGGCCGTCTCTCAGGTCGCCTTGGGCATTTCCTGAGACCTCCACGGGCCTCCCTGAGGCCCACGAAGTCTTTCTGAAACAATGGTGGGAACAGAAGGCGTGCCGCCCGCGAGGCGCTAAGAGAATCGTGCGCGTGCGTCGCGCGTCCCTGCCTGGGCAGCAGGAGGGATGCCCTGATGCGCGAGGTGGCCTGTCCTGTCCAGGGGTTCTCCTCCTCCTCCTCCGACAGAGAGAGAGAGGGAGAGAGAGAAAGAGAGAAAGAGAGTGAGGACCACACGTCGGGCGGCCGCCCTCCCTCGGCATCGCGGGTGGGTGCCCTGTGGGGGGCGGCCACACGGAAGAGATGGTTTCACACGCCCAGCGAGCCCGAGTGGTTCGGCGAGTCTTTGTTATCACACTGGACGGGCACTGGCGGTCCGGCATGCCCTCCACGGCGAAGGCAGCCAACGTGGCTGATGCGTGCGCCCAGCTCGCGGCGCAGACGAATAATTTTGAGGTAGCTCCTCCGCGAGACAGTAAGGCGCTGGTGATGACTTCGGCGAGGCAGGTTGGGTCCTTGCCGAGCTCGCCGCGCATGGGTGGCTCTACGAGAGAAGCAGGCACCCCCTTAGACAGCGGTGAGAACGTAGAGACGGGGTACGTGACTCCCGATGAATTCGACGAGTTCGGGTTGGAGCCTGGCAGCAGGAACGGGCAGTCCAGGCAGACATCTTGGGACGACCCCGAGCCAGAGCAGTCTTACACCTGCGCGTGGGGCCCCGAGGAGGAGTACACGGGCTACATGGTGGAACCGTGCGCTTGGCAGTGCTGGATGGTTTCTAACGCGACACCGTTTCCGACATACCAGCTTGACAATGGTCACGGTGCCAGTGAGCATTGCCAGACCGACGAGCTCATTCAGAGTGCTCCTCAGGAAAATGATAAGTCGGTGGATTGGGGAAGCACGGTGACGGTGATGATGCGGAACCTCCCCAAGAAGTTATCGCAGAAGCTTCTCTTGGAGGAGATCAAGTCGAAGGGCTTTGGGGGAACCTATGACTTCGTATACGTCCCAGTGGACATGCATACGAAGTCCAATCGAGGTTACGCATTCATTAACTTTGTGGAGCCCAAGTACGCAATGGCCTTCAAGTCCTGCTATGAGGGCCACCAGCTGACCAAGTACAGCTCGCGGAAGGTCATAGCCATTTTGCCAGCGGCGTTGCAGGGCTTCGAGGCAAATCACGCGCATTTCGCCTCATCTCGGGTGATCCACGATGCTCCCGAGGCGCGACCGGTTTTTCTCCGGCGGCCTTCGACGACGAGGGGGGCGCCCCCTCCCGAGGCGTCGGAGCGGAGCCGCAATGGTTCTACCAGAGATGGAGCAGCGAAATCAGCCGCTCTGGCTCCCAAGCCGCAATTAATGGCAAGCCCCCCAGCAGGCACCAGCAGTATCCCCACCAGAAAGGGCAAGTACGCTTTGAATTTCTGCCCGTTCTGTGGTGCGGACGTGCAGAGCGATTTTAAATTCTGCCAGTATTGTGGGACGTCGTTGCAACTCTGCTAATTGGTGCTAGCAAGGGGTCACACATGTCGAAGCCACAGTCAATCACAGCTTTCATCGCAGAAACGTATTAGCTTGTGTGGCTTCGATTAGTGTGCTTGTTTTTGACTTGGCCGGTTTGGCCATACAGGATGCGCACAGGACGTCATTGTCTTCTTCGTTGTTTCCTCTTCTTCCTCTTTTCCGTCCTCTATTGAGAAGGCCTTACGGCCGGTTCCGCCGACCCTGAAGACAACGACCACGAGGACGAGGAGGAGGAGGAGGAGGAGGAAGAGCAGAAGGACCCTTAAGGGGCCTCTGGAGAGCTCGGGGATTCCTGGGACATTGGGGGCGTCCTGGGAGTCTCTTGGGCCTCTTGGGGGCCTCTTGGGGGCTTCTTCGTTCCTCCTGGGAGCCTCTCGGGGCCGAGGGCTCGAAATGTCCGTCATGGCCCCTCATCTGGGCACGCTATTGGAGCCGTCTGGGGGGCATTTTTGGGCCGTCTTGGAGGCGTCTTGGGCCGTCTTGGGGCTTTCTTGGGCCGTTTGGGGTCTCTCCTGGAGGCCTCTTCGACCGTCTTGGAGCGATCTGAGGCCTCTTGGGCCGTCTGGGAGCGTCAGGAAGGGGAAGAGGCGAGAACGCCGAAATGCTTCAATTATCCCGGCAAAGCAACCTAACAGCGATGTGTAGGAGCATATTTGGAAGCATTCCCCTTAAGATTCAGATGAGAATCCAGTTGTAGAATTCTGCTGTTCTCGCAGTCGTAGTCGCATTCGCGATGACAGTCGCAGTGGCAACGGCAGTCGCAGTCACAGCCTCAGCCTCAGCCTGCCTCAGCCTCAGCCTCAGCCTGCTTCAGCCTCAGCCAGTCTGCCTTCAGCCTCGGCCTCAGCCTCAGCCTGCCTCAGCCTGCATCAGCCTCGGCCTCAGCCTCAGCCTGCCTCAGCATCAGCCTGCAGCCTCAGCCAGCCTGCAGCCTCAGCCTCAGCCTCAGCCTCAGCCTCAGCCTCAGCCTCAGCCTCAGCCTCAGCCTCAGCCTCAGCTCAGCCTGCCTCAGCATCAGCCTGCCCTCAGCCTCAGCCTGCCTCAGCCTCAGCCTCAGCCTGCTTCAGCCTCAGCCTCAGCCTGCCTCAGCCTCAGCCTCAGCCTCAGCCTCAGCCTCAGCCTCAGCCTCAGCCTGCATCAGCCTCAGCCTCAGCCTCAGCCTGCCTCAGCCTCAGCCTGCCTCAGCCTCAGCCTCAGCCTGCCTCAGCCTCAGCCTCAGCCTGCTTCAGCCTCAGCCTCAGCCTCAGCCTGCCTCAGCCTCAGCCTCAGCCTGCCTCAGCCTCAGCCTCAGCCTGCCTCAGCCTCAGCCTCAGCCTCTTCAGCCTCCTCAGTCTGCCTTCAGCCTCGGCCTCAGCCTCAGCCTGCCTCAGCCTCAGCCTGCATCAGCCTCAGCCTCAGCCTCAGCCTGCCTCAGCATCAGCCTGCCTCAGCCTCAGCCTCAGCCTGCCTCAGCCTCAGCCTCAGCCTGCTTCAGCCTCAGCCTCAGTCTGCCTTCAGCCTCGGCCTCAGCCTCAGCCTGCCTCAGCCTCAGCCTGCATCAGCCTCAGCCTCAGCCTCAGCCTGCCTCAGCATCAGCCTGCCTCAGCCTCAGCCTCAGCCTGCCTCAGCCTCAGCCTCAGCCTCAGCCTGCTCAGCCTCAGCCTCAGTCTGCCTTCAGCCTCGGCCTCAGCCTCAGCCTGCCTCAGCCTCAGCCTGCATCAGCCTCAGCCTCAGCCTCAGCCTGCCTCAGCATCAGCCTGCCTCAGCCTCAGCCTCAGCCTGCCTCTGCCTCAGCCTCAGCCTGCTTCAGCCTCAGCCTCAGTCTGCCTTCAGCCTCGGCCTCAGCCTCAGCCTGCCTCAGCCTCAGCCTGCATCAGCCTCAGCCTCAGCCTCAGCCTGCCTCAGCCTCAGCCTGCATCAGCCTCAGCCTCAGCCTGCCTCAGCCTCAGCCTCAGCCTGCTTCAGCCTCAGCCTCAGCTGCCTTCAGCCTCGGCCTCAGCCTCAGCCTGCAGCCTCAGCCTCAGCCTCAGCCTGCCTCAGCATCAGCCTGCCTCAGCCTCAGCCTCAGCCTGCCTCAGCCTCAGCCTCAGCCTCAGCTTCAGCCTCAGCCTCAGTCTGCCTTCAGCCTCGGCCTCAGCCTCAGCCTGCCTCAGCCTCAGCCTGCATCAGCCTCAGCCTCAGCCTCAGCCTCCTCAGCATCAGCCTGCCTCAGCCTCAGCCTTCAGCCTGCTCAGCATCAAAATGTGGCCCTGGAATGGAGTTCTGGGAACTCGAAGAACACGAAGTGGCCTACAGTTGGCTCCGGGCATTCAAAATGTGGCCCGGGAATGGAGTTCTGGGAAAGAGCACGAAGTGGCCTACAGTTGGCTCCGGGCATTCAAATGTGGCCCGGGAATGGAGTTCTGGGATCTCGAAGAGCACGAAGTGGCCTACAGTTGGCTCCGGGCATTCAGAATGTGGCCCGGGAATGGAGTTCTGGGACTTCGAAGACCACGAAGTGGCCTACAGTTGGCTCCGGGCATTCAAAATCATGCCCAGGGATGGAGTTCTGGGACTTCGAAGACCACGAAGTGTGTAACTGTTTGCTTAAAACGACTTCCGCGGCTTCTCCCCGGCACCCGCCCAGACCCCCCTGGGGAGTCAAGATGCTTTCTTTTGACACTACTAGAAACCTATCAGTTTTCGCTGTTAGGTAAAAACCGATGGGACATCGATGAGGTTTCTTTTGGAAGCCTTCTTGGGAGTACTCCTGGTGGCTTCTTGGGGCGTCTTGCAGGATTCGTGGGCCGTCTGGAGGCCGTGAAGGCGTCTTGGACAGATCGTTCGGCGATTCGAAGCCCTCTTGGACCGTCTCGGGGGCCTCTTGGGGCACTCTTGGCTCGTCTTGGGTTTTTGAGGCTCCAGGACACCCAGGGGGGAGTCGTATCTGACCAGGGACCCCCCTTGGGATCCCCCCCGGGACCCCTCCCAGGGACCCCCCCCCCCCGGGACCGGACCAGGGACCCCCCCCCCCCTCCCGGCGGGAAGGGATCAAAGGGAAGGGGTTTCCTTTCGATTGCATTACGACGTTGCTCAATTTCGCGTTGGCTGGCGCGCTTGCGGAGGAGGGCCCAGGCAAGGAGGGGGGAGCGACGACGGGCACAGGGAACGGAGAGCGCAAGGAAGGAGGACGACAGAGACGACGATTAACGAATGACGGTGACGACGACTCGCTCGACTCGAACGGAGAAGCCCCTCACACACGCCGACAGGGTCGGCGGATTTCCTCGTCCCTTGAATTGAGGCCGGCACCTGTGCAGCGCCAGAGTGCGGTGTTTCTAGGAAGCAGCCCGGTTGGAGATGGTGTTTTTCCCAAATACTCTGGGGAGCATACGGCTACATGCTGATTCAGAGTCAACTCGGAGCATACGGTTGCATCTGGATTCGTTCTACCCCCATTTCCTTTTCTTCGTACCTCTCCCTCCGCTCCAATCGCGCTGGAAAAATGTGGTCAGTGTCGTAGATGCTGCTACGGCGAAGAGTCGAAATGCAAGTCTCACCAGTATTGGTTCGAAATAGGAATATTCCAAGAGAGATGGAAGTCCTCAGTGTGTCATGCAGACGGCAGCGGTTGCAGCGGCGAGCGAGGAGGACATGCAGATGGCAGCGGTTGCAGCGGCGAGCGAGGAGGGTAGGACAGGATAGGACGGGACAGGACGGAATAGAACGAGACAGGATGGGATTCGACTAGGGTAGAATGGTATAGGACGGGATAAAAAGTAATAGGACGGTCGAAGGGGATAGGACGGAATAGGAATAGACAGGACGAAGTGGGACGGGACAGGACGGACTAGGATGGGACAGGACGGAACAGGACGGGATAGGATTATGATTAGGATCAGGGGTGGATTACGATTGGGGGTGGAGAAGGGTTCGGATTAGGATTTCGCGATTCGGGTCCTGACCATGATTAGGATTACGCTCACGATTAGCATTATGATTAGGAGCTGGGATAGCCAGGCAGGCAGGGAGATAACCAGGAAGCCATGGAGATCGCCAGGAAGTCCTGGGGATCGCCAATATCTTGCAAGTTCAAAAAAAGGGAGGGCGGAGCGAGCCGAATGGATCCAATGAGCGAGTTCTCGTAGGCAAATGGTTTTGGATATCTGCCAATTTGCATCGGCGTAATTAGTAGTCCCCCCCAAGCGTTGCCCACAGCACTGCGATTACTTTGGCAGTTCCACTAGTTCTTGCGGGTGTGACTGAGCTAGCCCCCCAATCACCCTGTGGGGTCGGGTTTTGTCGCCCTGTGGGGTCGGGTTTGGGGGCGGGTCGAAGACTTGCGCCTGCAACATTGCGCCGCTCGCGACAGGCTCATTCGAGTACGGTGGGCGTTCAGGAATGTGCCCACGAGGCTTTAGACCTTGGGGGATTCCCTATCCGATGAGGGCGGTGATGATGTCCATGACAAAACCTCAGTTGGCGCTCCCCTGGCTTTCAGACCCTGGATTGCGAAGGCCTTACGGCTGGTGCCGCCGACCCCGAAGGGAGACGACGACGACAACAACGGCGGCGACGACGACGTTGACGTGGGGGCGACGTGCGCACCGAGGAATCTCATAGTACATACGTCATGGCGGGCGCTTTCTGGCCTCACCGTTCGGGAAACGATATACTACAAGATGGGCACACTGCATGTTCGGGTCGGACGCGCGCCTCCAGGGAGGACATCTAGTAATAGTATGTCTCTGTGCGTCCCATTCCTTACCGAAGTCTTCCTTATCCAGCACCCCCACCGTGGTCCGCGGGTGGTCCGGGGCTGCCTGCGAGCTCCCTCGCAGCCTGCCGCCCTGGCTGTGGCTCCCCGCGCGGCAGCCACCGCGGCGAGCAGTGCGACCCGGGGGCGGCGCCGCCTGCCTCCTTACCCCCAGGGTGGTCGACCTTTGGAGCCCCCGACGTCAACGCAGCTGCTCCCAATCCCGAAACCCAGACATGATCGCGTCGTGAAAAATCAGGACGGC